AGAGATTTCAGCCACTGTACCACCCTAAACTGTATGATAGTCCTCAAATCTGTTGTCCCTCTCTGAGTTTCTGAGAATATCCTGGAGTTCCTTTCTTCCCGCAGTGTCCAACATACTGCAGCCCTTAGTCCTCTCCACGTTGTCCTTCCCCTTTTTAACCGCTACCTGAATAATCCCCCTTCTCAGTTCGACTTCCAGCACTCTCATTCATCACTCCCCTACTACCACTTGGTTGTTCTGGTTGAGATTCCAGGATATCTGTTACAGGCATAGAACCCAGATGATTATCTAAAAGCAAATGGACAGACTTACCTGAAGGTAAAAAAAGGATTGCAATGGAACCAGGTGTTGGGCATCAACTGTTGGAAGTCAAGACCAGACCCATTCCTTGTTCCTGACTCAGTTGTGGAAGTAAACTAGGTTCAACTGTGACTTTTTCACCCCCCACAGTCAAAGGTTCCTCACTAGTCTTTCCCTCTATGTGAATCCTTGGGTGAGGCRCAAGATTTGATTCTTGTCTCTCTGGCCCGATATTCTGAATAGGCTATGCCAATAAGTAGACTCATTTATTGGCAGAGATGTAATCTGCTGAACCTCTGCAAGTGTTTCCAACACCATCTGTTTTTTGTGCAAAATAATTCCTGGAAGGGAAGATATCTGTTCGCCACCGTTGAGACTCAGATTCCTCAGCTGTTTGTCATTGCCAAAATCTTGTGGGTCCATTTCCTCCTCTGGAAATAAAAGTTCAGTGTTTATGCTTCCCTCCATGATATCTTTTGGTTTTTAGAGGTCAATACTTCCCAGACTGAGGGTTTCTCCAGATTCTGAATCCGAATCAGAAAAATCTGTCTTCTGTCGACATTTCCAAATCTGAGCCGTGTAGCTCACTGCACTTCACACACCTCGGATTACAGCAATCCTGTGAAGATCAAGCCAGCTTCTTCGATGGGATCCACTGTAAGGAGCTGGACACCTTTGCAGAGTTGTTCGAGCGAAAGGAGGAGCTCAAGGAAGACAATGGTAGACCTTGTTTTCTGTCTACCTGAGATGCTCCCCCTGTCATGTGCTTCTTTAACTCCTCAAATACCAACTTAAGCCCTGGGTCAATTAATTTTGGCCCACTTAACTTGGTTTCGGGCCTACTGGGCCCAGGAATAGAATTTGAATTTGAATTTGGGCCTACTGGGTCAGCCAACATAAGGTTTTCTGATTCTTTTTTTTATCAATAACACTTTCATTAATTCATCAGTAGAA